ACAGTAATGCTTTATTGTTTTAAGCTGCGTTTTGAGGGGACTTGTTTTGCATCAGCGGATAACACAGTATGTCCCTTGGCCCTTCCGGGTCCCTTCTCTCTCCTGGGAAATGCCAGGTTGCACTAAATGGTGCCCTGAACAAGCCGATGGCCATCTCCCGGTGCCCGGAGGCTGCGGGTCTTCGTCGGGCCCCCACCCCATGTCCTCTGTCCCGGTCAGCAGCTTCCACGGTCCCCTCGCCTTCCAAGCACAGCTCTGCCCTCCACGGCGACTGGCGCGTCATCTCTGGCAGAAGCCAGGCCGACTCTGTTCCTTCTTTGGAAGCAGAGACAGGTCGTATTGCGAATATAATGGGAAATATTCTTTTAATAATTAAGCCTGTATTTACAGTTAATGAGTTTTCATAACTATCCAATAAACCAGCCAATTGGAGTTACTGTTTCTGAAAATAATGTCACTTTATTAAAAGTCATTGCTCTTTTATCTACTCGAAATGGGCTGAGTTAGGCGGCTGTTCTGTCTAATTGTGGCGGATACGTAGACATCTCTCAGTCATTTACGTCCGTCCGCTCTCGCTCCCGGCCTCACTTAATTCCATTTGTGCCTCGGGTGATAGACTTGCTGCTGCAAGAACAGGGTGGGCATGTCTCGTGTTTGGGGCTTTCAGACTCTGAGACCCGACTACACTCTCATATCTGACAGTAACCGCCAGCTTCGGTCGGTTAGCAAGGACAGGAATTGGCGCATGATCTGAAATGCCAGTTAACACANAGCTTCGGTCGGTTAGCAAGGACAGGAATTGGCGTCCGCATGATCTGAAATGCCAGTTAACATGGGAGGGAAGCCCCGGAGCCACGGGTGAGGCTCCCTGGTCTTTGCTGAGGTCAGTGTGGGTGAGCCAACGCCGTGGTCCCCGTGGTGCAGCTGGGCGATGGCAAAGCCGGGCGGGCACAGCACCCCCTGCCCCGAGAGCCTGATTCGGTTGGCGGAGCCCTAACACCCCTGGTTAAACTGCCCTGACGACTCCGCCTCGGTCAGAACCCTGACCCGTCTTGTCTGTGTTTGTCTGAAGCGCCGTCTCTCTGTGGCTTAGTCACTCATTGTATATTCGGTGCCAACATCCCCCCGTGAGGGCAGGAGAAACAAAGCGGAGATGGGTCTGCCCCCTGGGAAGTGACAGCATGCTCGCCGATCGCCGGCTTTGCATTCTCTGCACCTTCTGACCCAGCATCAACCACATCGTTACTGCGCACTCGGAGCAGTTCATTCTTGTCACTGAAGGGAGGCCTGTCCGACACTTAATGGGGAGGAAACAGGTCACCTGGTAGCACATTCTGGACACCACTGGGCGAGAGCCTTCTCGTGCGTTTGCATTCAGCACGGTGGTTCCATTTATAAATGGAGCCTGACTGCTGCGAAGCCTCAGTGGATGTAAATGGGTGGGGTGGGGGGTGTCCTAATAAGAGGCTTCCACGGCCCCTTGGTCATCGGCTAAGGCTTGGCTAGAACCCAAGGCTCTGGCTCCCAGGCCTGGGCTCTTCCCAGCACACCAAGTGTCCTATCCTACGTGTCCCTTACGTGGTGGCGTCTCCCGCTGCCCCGGGACCCCGTTCTCGCGGCTCACACCCCCTCTCGAACCTGTAACTGCCTCGAGCCTTTCCAGAGCTCCAGACGTGTCTCCGACTGTTTTCCAGATGCCTCCTCCTGGTGTCTTACAGTAACCTCAACATTCCCAAAACAAACCTGTCTTTGCTTCCCAGCGCCACCCCTTACCCCGCTCACACGACTTCCTCATGTTTTATCGGCAAATGTCACTCCCGCCGATGGAATGCTCGCGTCACCAGCCCGCCGTCTCTGCCCCCTTCCTTCCTTCCTCCCGCCATCCCCCCACAGCCCTCCTGCCTCCTGTCTGCGCCTCTGGGGCTTTGAGCCCCCAAGTCCCCTTGCTGCATTGCTGTAGTGGCCCCCTGGCTTCTCTTGTCCCCTCCAATCTTCTCCCTACAGCACAGCCAGGGAGGTGTTTCTAGAACACAAGTCTCGAGTCCCAGGCTACCTTGCCACTGCCACGGCTCCCCATTTTCTGCCTTTCACCTTCTCCCTCCATCCGGAACCGCCCTCTGCTCGCCCCCAGCCCACCATTTCTCCCTGCCAGGCCAGTTCTTGACTCCCTGGGATTTCTGCTAAGGTGTCAGTTCTCATGGACAGACTCCCCAATGCTCTTGCTGGCGTCCCTGCGTCTCCCCTTGTAGGGCATGTGGCACCAGCGCTCGTCTGAGCCAGGTGTGCACACTCCGCCAAGGGGAGGCTGCCTGGTCCCCCCTGGATCTCTGGGGACCGTCTTCATACCCAGCAAGGGCTGTGAGTGACTAGAAGGTGGGTGGTGTGTCCCTGGGCTCTGCCTCGGCCAGTGAACCCACTCAGTCATCCTGAACTACCGGGAATATGCAGCGATCAGACATTCTGCGGTGCACGGTCAGGGCCTCGTTGGACTTTCACTTTGGCTGTCTGGTTGGTGGAGGGGAGGCAGTGCTGTAGATGATTGAGACCGTGGACTCCAATACTGATTCCTGGGGTCCAAATGCAGCCTCGTTATGTATGTTGCGTTACTTAAACTTTCCGGGCCTCAGCTTCCTCATCTGTGAAATGGGGTAGTAACCATTCTGAGAGGAAGATGAATGGGTGGGCAGTGTCCAGAATGGGCCTGGGCCCCTAGCAGTGCTGGGTGGGTGTCAGACAGCCACTCAGGTGGCCCCTCTCCCGCCCCTCCTCGCGGTCATCCATCTTACTCTAGCAGCAGCTTGTTTCCATGGTCATTTCCAGCTCTTCGCTGGGATCCAGGACCAGGCACGCCTTTGTGAAGGGCCTCCGGGAAACGTATCCCCAGATTTTTATGACATCGTGAGACTCAGGCTCTTGTAACTTGGTTTAAACGGAGCCCTTGGCTGCCATCCCATCCTCATTTATAAAGGGCCAGGTCTGCCCAATATGGAACCTGGACTGATTGCGTCACCTCTCTGATTCTCTGTGCCCCACTGTAAACTAGGAATGAAAAAACGCCAGGTCTGTTGCAGGCATGAGAAGCTGTCTGTGTACAAGGCCTGGTGCGTGGCAGGCATTCGTAATGGCCCTGGGCACCATCCCGCCTGCTCACCTTTGCCGCGCCCCAGCCGGGCCCATGTTCTCGTCTCTGCCCGGAGCCTCATGGTGGGCACGGTTGATTGGGATGGGAGGGGACGTTAAGGAATGCTACATATGGACAAGTCGGTCTTATTTACGGGAAAAAACACTCGTTGTCTGAGAAAACATTGATGCAGCTGTTGATTTGGTGAACACTACCGATAACGCCTTGATTCCTACATGCAAAAAATAAAGCCAGAGTCATGGGCCCCACCAGCAACGTTTGCCTATGAATTTTTTTCAAGTACGAGGTTAAATGGTTTGATCCATTAGTCAGCGTATGTAGGAAGCCAAGTGCCTGCAAACAGAAATTATTAGCCACAAAATGCCACAGGCAAGCTACAAAATAAAAATTAATAATGCTTAATTAAAAGCCTGCATAATGTGACTCCGGTATCGTCATTACGTATTTCCTAATGCTATAAAGCCAGTTGTAGGTTAGATTCCCTCACTCCACCCATCGCCAAGATTGCCGCAAAATCATTGCAACAGTAAATTAAAAGTTTATTTGTAAGCATATAATCTCAAAAGCCAAATTGTAAATATCTTTCAGATTTTTTTGCAGCAGAACAAATATTTAAATTGGGATACAGGTACATTTTAATACGATTGTTAGGATGTGGGATAGGATCTTCCAAAGTCTCAGTACTTGGGGTACTTGAAGGCCTGGGAGAGAGGCCTTGTGACAGGTGTGGGGCTAGGACCACCCGGGTGCAGGTGGCTCTTCTCAGTCATCCTGGGGGGGGGAGGAAGGAGGGAGCCCATCATTTCCATGGTGGATAAACCCTGCTGGATCCTTCACTGCAGAGCAACTAAAGAAAAGCTGGCCTCCAGAGGGCGAGAGCTTTAATTCCTGTACCTTTAGAGTAACAATGCAGGTCATTGGCAGAGCAGGTTGCATTTGGGAGAAATGTATGATCTGGCCCAGCCCCAAGGATTTCCCTTCTTGCAGATTTCCTTTTACATTTTAAAGAGCCCACAGTCGCCAGTGGTCACAACACACGGTCCTTGCTGGTCTGGAGGAATGCTAGTTGAACAACCCATACTGAGCGGGCTGGGTCTGCCCCGACGGAGGGCTCAGTGCTGCAGACCCTCCTGAGAGTCAGCTTCTCTCAGGAAGATTGCCAGGCGACAGTGCTGGGCTCACAGAAGTCTGTGTGGGTAAACGACTAGCTGTGGGGTATTTCTGAGTTGGGTTATATGCAGAAACCTTTCTTGTTTTAGTCACAGGCATTAGATCCCAAGTAATTGAAAAATATATTCAGCTCTGTCTGTGGTCATGTAGCTGTTATTTAGTTTGATTTAATATCGATAGATTAAATCGTTTGCGCAGACGAGTTGAATAAATTCTGCCGGAGCGCGTGTCTTATTTTCGTTTCACATTAAGCCCTTAATTTGCAGCTGTGTTCCATTGGCGGTCCTATTACAGAAAGTAAGCCCCCCAGGAAAAGCTTGGGGGGTCTCTCCCCTCTCTCCACTGTTATTCAGTGGAATTAAATCATTCAACAAACTCTGAGGAGGGCCTTCGGGGACAGTCTGGCCCTGGGCCGTCCTTAAACCATCGAAGACGTCTGGAGAGCTGCCCTGATGTCAATGGCTTTAATTTAAGCACTATTCAATTCTTTTATTTAACCCACTCTCCCCTCCCTTCCTCACCCTCACAAAGCCCTGGGAGTGTCCAGAGTCTCTGGTTCCCATAGATATACAACATAGTGATAAAGTGAGGCGAGAAATGCAGGTCCCCCCTTAGAAAAAGTCATTCCCGCACCTCTCTCCCCCTGCATCTCTACCAGCTGAGAGCTTCTCGGCTGCAGGTCCCGAGGATGGGATTCCCTGTCACTCATCACGGCATCCCCAGGGCCGTTGGCGTCATAAGACTCAGTGTTTTTATTGAACTGACGAATGAAGGTGCCCTGAAGACCCAGTCCGCTCACTCGGTGTCTTTGTTCCCGCAGGAGGACTGGAATGAAATTGACCCCATTAAAAAGAAGGACCTGATTCACCACAGCGACGGGGGCGAGAAAGCCCAGGGCGTGGAGACCCTCCCTCCAGGTACAACAGCACCAGGGGCGCCAGCTCCGCGTGAGCTGGGGGCCGGGGGCCGGGAAGTCCTGCTGCCCACTAGCTGTGCGTGAGCTGGCATGTGGCGCTCGGAGCGCGTGGCCTGTGGGGCAGGGGCCGGATTTCATAGGGCGGACGGGACACTGAGCGCAGAACCTTGCCGACTTCCTTCGGGCCCATCAGTGGGTGGTGAAGTGAATTTTACGGGGCAAAATTTATTGAAAGAAAAAAGAGTGAAATAGGACATATAGGATGGTATGTATCCGTTCACAATTTTTTTTGAGAGTTTATTTTTGACAGCAGTTCTCGTTTCACAGCAAAATGGAGCAGAAAGTACAGAAACGTCCGTATATCCCCCGTCCCCACACATGCACAGCCTCCCCCGCTATCAACACCCCCCACCCGACCCGCACATTTGTTAACGTCGATGAACCAACACTGATGCATCCTGACCACCCAAAGGCCATGGGTCACGTTAGGATTCACTCCCGGCCTTGTGCATTCAGGGGCATGAGTCCACCTTCACGGCACCGTGCAGAGCATTTCGCTGCTCTGAAAACCCTCCATGCTCTGCCCGGTCACCCCTCCCTCCCTCCCCCTAATCCCTGGCAACCGCTGATCCTTTGACTGTTTCCATGGCTTTTCCTTTCGCAGAGTGGCACATAGTTGGCATCACACGGTGTGTAACCTTTTCGGACTTGGCGTCGTTCACATAGTAATGTGCGTTGACGGTCCCTCCGGGTCTTTTCACGGCTTGATGGCGTGTTTGCTTTATCACTGTGTAGCATCGTATTGTCCGATGTACCAAAATTACTCATCTGCTCGCCCACCGAAGGACATCTGGGTTGCTTCCAAGTCTCGGCAATTGTGAATGAAGCTGCGCTAAACATCTACGCGCAGGTTTTCGTGGGGACACACGTTTTCAGTTCATTGGGGTCAGTATCAGGGAGTGCGACTGCTGGATCGTATGGTAGGACTGTGTTTGTTTCTGTAAGAAGCCACCGGCCTGTCTGTGGAAAGTGCCTAGTTTGCATTCCCGCTGAGAGTTCCTGTTGCTCCGTGCCCTCGGCAGCATTTGGTGGTGTCAGTGTTTTTGATTTTGGCCCTTCTAGTAGGTTGAAGGTGGTATCTCATTGTTTTAATTTGCATTTCCCTGACGACAGACAGTGTGGACCATCTTTTCGTGTGTTTATTTGCCATCAGTTTATCTTCTTGGGTGAGGTGTCTGTTCAGGCCCCTGGCCCATTTTTTAAATTGGATTGTTCACTTATTGTTGAGTTTTAAGAGGTTTTTGTGTGTTTTGGATAACTGTTCTTTATCAGATATATTGTTTGCAAATATTTTCTCTCAGTCTGTGGCTTGTCTTCTTCTCTTTACGGTGTCTTTCCCAGGGGATAAAAGTTTAATTTTAGTGAAGCTCAGCTGATCAGTTCTTTCCTGAATCTTGCCTTTGATGTTGTATCCAAAAAGTCATCCCCATGCCCAAGGTCACCTAGATTTTTTTCCTCTGTTACCTTCTAGGAGTGTTTTAGTTTTGTGTTCCATATTTAGGTCTGTGATTCATTCTGAGTTAATTTTTGAGAAGCGTGTACAGGATGGCTACAGTCAGCTGGAATTGGGCGTTTCCCTACCCCCCCGTAGAAGGCTAGGACAAGCTGTAGTCGGGGACTTTACCTTCCTCCAGGTTGGCTAGACTCTGATGAACCCCAGTAGGTTAGGCTCTGGTGAAACAGTTTCTCTTGAAGGCGGACCTTGTGGAGAACAGTGTCTAGTATATTTCAAAGCGGTTCCTTTCCCCCTCTCCCTACTGGAAGCAAGAGGGGACCTGTCTTCCCCGTGAGAAACCTGGTTCCCCTCCTGGAGGTAAAACTCACAAGCGCCCCCCTCCTCCATCGCTGGCCCCCTGGAGTTTCTATCTCTCAGGCTTGTCCGCATTGTGCCCCCAGCAGTTCATCGGCTGCAGTTCCGGCTTCATCCCCGGACCCGGTTCCCGCAGAGGTTGCTCCTCTGTAAGTCGTGACCTGTCGGTCTCTGCGGGTTTTGGAGCAGTCGTCCGCCCTACGACCTCACTTCTCGGAGGGACCTAAGAAGAGGGGTTGATTTCAGCCGGTGCAGCGTTGTACTTGTTAGGGTGGAGGGACGACTTCCAAGCTCCCTCCCTATATGGTAGACTGCAGATTGGAGGCTGGTCTATGGACTTTTTGCTTTCACGGTGACAAAGAGTTTATATACTTGTGTTTCTTACCGGGTTGGACGAGCACTGCCCCCAGGGAAATTTAGGCCCTCCTTTGTGTGCCCCCCCATTGTCCCAGCTGCACTA